TTCCTTAGAAATCATTGTGTATAATTTATTTTAACCACTCACTCTTAAAACAGAAAATTTCACTATGAATTGTAATTGAGATAGCAATGAATCTCGAGAAATATGTCCTTGTGTCTGAGTTATACTCATTTTGATTAAGATCAAAATTTAATAAAGTATTGATTTTTTTGTCTTGTGAACTGCTCTATAAGTTGAGCTTTGTATCAGAAATATAATATCTGTTTTGTCTGTTAAACAAAAAAATTCAGCTGTCAAACTCAAATGTTACATTGTGCCCAGTTTATAAAATGAACTTTGATAATATTGAAATTTATTTCACTTAAATTATCTGGTAGTTTTAGACATTGTTTGTCTTGTCAGTTTGTTCATATATGTGTGTGCGTATATGTGTAAATCATACTGTATCTATTTCATATATTAAGAATGCTTAAGTTACTCTAAACTGAAGGTTCTTTAGAATAATTAGAAATATTTAAAATAAAATTTTTGATTTATGACAAAAATAGGAGACAAAATATCAGAGGTTTTTGTTTGTATCTGCAGGTTTAACACAAACTCTAATTTCCTGGGTTTTAGAATAAATTATAATCTGTTCTTGTCATTTAAAAATATAAATGTATATAAATAAAATATATAATCAACCTCAATTTTATTAACTTTGGGCTAAACAAAAAATATTTTAAAAATACGTATAAAAGAAAATATGGAAATTTTATTATAAATGACCAGATTGTTCCAGAAGTTTTAGAATTGAAGATTAGATTAATATACAGAAACTAAACATGAAATTTAAAAGTAAGATAATAAATAATTATTGTTTTTTGTTCTATCTTAATATAATTTGGATAGGAAGATTTCATAAAAACCTGATGAAAGTTAATAATAGAAGATTACGAACTTAAACTGAAACTAAAGTCGATTTAAAAAGTTTTTACTTTTAATATTTGGAGATTTGTAGCTTTAGCTCTGTAGCAGGATAAGAGAGTGAATATCAAAATATTTAAAAGGTACATTCTATTTTGAGATTTCAGTTAACAAAATTAATTAGTCATTTTTTAAATTTTTAAATCATTAAATTTTGGTTGACTTGAAAGTCAACATTACACTAATTAAACCTGTCTTTAGAAAAAAAAGACTGACGGAAATGTTTGTCAGATGTTCAGGGGTAAAGAATATATAAGAAAATAAAGAAATACAGAGAATTAAATAAAAAGGAAAAAAAAAAGATAGAAAAAGACCGTGGAATGTTGAATGGGTGAAAATTTGTAAAAATATTTAACTAGTCCACAAAGGAAAAGAAGGAAGCTGTTAATTAGGTACCTCCACTGATTTGCTAAAAAATTAGCATACCATGATGAAAAAATGCCCCAAACTTAATAAAAAGAAAATTTTATTGTAAAAATTTTTGTTATTAAGAAGAAAGACCAGAGGATTTTTTAAATATTAAATTATTTTTTCATCCTAAAAAGGAAGAAAATGACCATTTGAAATTTTGGTTAAAAATCTTGTTTTTTTTTTTTTTGTCAACCCGGTAGCCAAAGATTAGTATAGGAAATTTTAGCATCTTTTTGCAATGAAAAACACATTGATTTCGAAATTCTTGAAAAAAAAAATCAAATAATTGCTGGATTTTAAGGAAACTTTCAAGACTTATTCACAAAAGAATGATGTTATTTTAAAAATGATTTATTTTAGAAAATCTTGGTAAAAATATTTTCTTTTTTATGTATGTGTCCTCCACTTAGGGACATTCATTTTTATGGTTTTCTCTCTCTTGACTACTCTCTCACACACAAACAAATTCTTATTGTATCTTATTTTAATGTTCTTTTCCTTTTGTCACAAATTTTTTCCCACTCAAGAAAAAGAAAAAACAGGAAAAAAAATTGTCCTTTTTTTCAAAAATTAAGAAATTGGAGGTGTTTTCATCACTTAATAATTTTACAAAATTTTATTTCTTTTTTGTAGTTAAATTTTTATACCCTCTCCCCCACTGCATTGCACAGTGTGCATTTGGTTGCTTCACCCAAACCTCTTCCCCTATTTTTGATTCTAGTCAGCGATTCCACACCAGTATTCAAGGACATATGTTTCAGTGTCTCCACTCGTAGGTGAAAATTGACCTTTGTGGTACTGTCTCCTTTCTCTGTCTGATCTTAGGCACCATGTTGTACCAAAATGTCACTTTGACTGTGATATCCAGCTATTGTGAGAGTGGATTGACACTGTTGGATCTTATGGCTTGATGGTGTTGCTCCACTATTCCATTTCCCTCTGGCCTGTTCAAGGTGGGATTGTCAAACAGTTATAACTCATTACAGTTGCAGGAAACTCACCAATTCTTCTTGGATGAAATTGATTAAAACAATTAAAATTGCCGTGGCAAGACATTTTTATTTTCTTATTTTCCATTTTTAATCATCTCTTGGAGGAATTCCGAGTAAAAAAAACATGCTCTTGTCTATTACCACCTCCACTACTGGACCTAATTCAAGAATCACCTTCTCCAGTTCTACTGCAATCACAGCTGCCATTTCCATACGCAATTCCCACCATATCACCAGTCACCCAGGTCCATAGCCAAGTCATTGACAAGTAAGCACACCTGTAAGCTAACCTCATCCAATTGTTTGCCATTCCAATCTCACCAGGATCATGCATGTTTGGGGCAGGGTCAATCAATTGACATCTGAGGCTTTAAGAGTTGTTTCTGTGGCTCTATCTATCTCCATTTTTTTCTTGGATATCCTGCAAATGTTTTGATGTTGATTATACCAACAGCAATATCAAAGGCTTTTTGAAAAGTGTTTTTTTCAGTCATTAATCTTCTCTATATTCTGTCATCATTAATTCCCACGACTCAACATGTTGTTCAGGAAGACACTGTAATGACAGTCTTTCTTTTCAGTTATGGTACAGAGTTCTGCTACAAAATCCAATATGGATTCTCCCTTCTTTTGATTTCTCCAGTAACATTTATTTAGACCTTTGTACAATAACAGATGGTTTACTTTAGTTTAGGGTTGTAATAGGAATTCACAAGGCTCCTCATATGTTTTTTTGTCGCCCAGCTTACTTGGAGATAAAATGCTCGGCATTAGTTTGTAGACCTTGTTACCACACACTGAGAAGGATATTCCTTTGTTTTTTGTTTTTCTGAAGTCTGCTTTCATCATTTCATTTACCTCAAAAGAGTGATTTATTCTTTCACAATATGGTTCCCATGACTTACTTGAGCTGTCAAATGCTTCCAAATGGCCAATAAGTTCTGTTTTTTTTTTTTTTGTAAATTTATAGATTAAGCCCCGGAAACCAGTTGTAATGAAAATTTCCACTCTGGCATAAAATTGATTATTTTGAAAATAACAATAAAAGTTTGCAGAAATGTACTGCTTAGCAGATATTGACAATCTTCTTATTTCAGCCTTATTTGCATCTAGTCTGGCCGCCATCACTGGCGTTGTTTACGTTTTTGCATTTTACTTAACTGCCTTTTTACTGATTTTCCTATCTTCTTCTTACTTGCCTCGATTACTGTGCAATTCATGAAATTTATTTTCAAATACACAGACTTTGTTTAATGTGTGAATTTTAAAAATAACCCAAGAGGAAAACATTATTCCTGTTGTAAAAAAATCATCGTTTTTCCAAAAATTAGCATTTTATTTTTGGTTGACCTATTTAATCAAAATTTAAACCAAAAATAATTGTTTGTGCACTATAATTTATTTATTTGTTTTTGAAAAAACAATTTAAGAAAGAATTCACTTTTACATTTTTGTTTTTTTGTAAAAGTGAAGCTTTAATTGAATTCTTTATTAAATTGGTTTTTAAAATTATTTAGAAAATCAGTACAAGCTTTTCTAATTAAATGGGTGAACATTTTTTAACAATATATTTGAAATAGTGAGGCTTTTCCTGTTGAGTTACTCCTTAAATTTTGTGCATTTATTTTTAATTGAAGTTCGCGCATTGTATGCGTAATAATCAAGACAAGTGAAGCTTCTGCATATAATTTATTGATGAAATTGAAAACGTATGTAAACAAAGCTAGTAATGGCGGCCAAGCTGTAGCTGCAATGCGAACTTTGATTGTTATTTTTTAAATAAGCATGCAAATTTACACCAGAATGGAAATTATCATTACAATTGGTTTCTAGCGCTTAATCTGCAAATTTACCTTTTTTTTCTATCACTTCATATCCAAATATGTAATAAATACAGAGCAGGATAAAAAAGGGTTTTATTTACAACAGGGACACTGAAACTAAAAAGCTTTCTTGGGAATATATAAGAAGCAATAACTGTTTATTTAGGGTCTATTTTTTTAGGTAGTTTTAATATATTTATAATTTACAATACATTTAATGAATGTTTTTCTTTTTCTCATATACTTTCACACTCAGTAACCTCCTGCATCTTAGTGGCTTTATTCCTTTGCTTAGGGTGAAAAATGATTACAAAATGTACTACTGTATACACAGATTTATTTACAAAATTGTAAAATAACCACAATGGCAATGGTAGTAGTAATTATCAATTATTCTCGTACCAACAAGTTACAAATACAAAAATATATCTGGCCATTCAGCTGTTTATATAGCACTAAGCAAGGGTAACTTATGCCTGCCTGTGGAAGTCCCCCATTATCTAATGAGACCTTCCATTTCTAGTCGACAACAAAAAGTTTTTACATTTTTGTATATGTGAAAATTAAAAATATATATAAATACTTGAGAAAATATGCAATAAATCAACCCAGAGAATGTTTTACTTGAGTATGAAGATGTACAGAAAGGTTCTTGCTCTAATCAAGAAAGTGTTTAAAAAAAATTCTGATGTTTGAATTTAAATAACTTAAATATCATCATTTTTGTGAAGTATTTTTGTATATGAATAACTGTGCCTTTCCAAATAATGGATTATTTTAAATTTCAGGAAAAATGGAATATTCAGTCCACTTCTTTAGTTGTCTGTTGTTTATATTTTATTTCATCTTCATGATTTCTTGCATTAGAGGTGATGCTAAAGGTAAGAGAATTTCTTCATAAGCTTTTTTTCACCAGTTTCACTCACTGTTAACTTTCAAATAATATCCTGATATTACTGAGTATATAATTTAATTCTTGTGCATATATTAAAGGCAAAATTATTGAAAGTAAACTGTAATTCAATGAAAAATGTCAAACTGAGATATGAGATAAGTGTGGTAATCATGGTAGTAGAAAAATTGGTTTTTGACAAAAAAGCAGATTTCATGAAGGGAAATGAAAGTCAAGTTTAAAAATGATGGACTGATTAACTTATAATTTTATTCTATCAAGAAATTATTTCATTTCACTTAATTGATTCAGGGATTTATACAGTAACGTGTAAATTAATTGTCACAGTGACTTCAATAAATAGAGATTATATTATCAATTTATGTTTATTTTTTTCCAGAGCTTTACATAACTGTTCTAAAATGTCACAAATCAGTATTTTGTATGTATGCCTCTACTTTTCTAATGAGCATTTGGACATGTTTTGGCATAGATTTGGCCAGTTTCGGATACATGTTGCCCAATTCTTCATTGTGTATCTGAATGATTACACAGATTAGCTTCTCCATGGTGGAACAGTCATGTTTTATCAGTCATTGCTTCACAATACAATGGGCTTCAGGTTAGGGGAATTTCCTGGCCAGTTCAACACTTTTGCATCCTCATTTTGAAAAAAATTCTGCATTTTTTTCAATGTGTGGCATTATCTTGCACCATCTCCATCTGGGTAAAATTCTTCCATTTTAGGGAGCATATGGACTTCCAAAAGATCTTCATATTTTGTGCTATTCACCATCACCTCAGTTATTCTTTATCCACCTAACCCTAACTAAAACTGCCCCAGAACATCTTGGGAGCGTGTTTTGGCTTTTGCTCAGTATGGCCATCTCTTATGGATTCACCTTTGCTTCTCCATACAAAACAGTATCAAAGACTTCTCTCTTCAAAGTGTGTCTTATCCAAGAACAGCACTTTTTTCCAATCATCCACCGTCCAATTTTTCTGAGATTTTTCCCATTGGAGTCATTCATCCTTCATTCTTCCAGTTAAAATCTGTTACAGATTTGTTTGAATGTTCATAGAGAACAATAACCTGTGCACGCTTTCTAGGAGTTATATCCTTTTTTATTTTACCAGTTGAAAGAGAATAATTGGGTTAGTTTTGTAATCAGAAGCAGTAACAGAAAAAAACATAAAAAATCTGACTTACAAGCAAAACAATATAAATCACACAATTCTTAACTAAATACAAAGTTTAGTTACAAATAAATTCTAAAATATTCAAAATTGTTTCAAAAGTATTCTGTTGTAACAGGAGTGTACACTGTAATGGCTTCATTGTGATTAGGAGTCATTAAACTATATTGACGCTGTCCAAAGATGGTATAAAAGATAAATATATTAAACTGAAGTAACTGTCCCAATTAATTTGCACAGTACTGTAACGATGTGTTCACTGTGTATATATTTGTTGGTTCAAACTAACTTTATCACAAAGCCACTCATTGAAGATCAAACTTACTAGCAACATCATATAAGACAAACTTAATTAACCATTACTCTCTGGAAAAGTCTTTCTATAGATTGGTAAAGTGAAAAGAAGCATAAATAGTTACTAATTTCTCATTATTGCCAACAAAGTTTTCTGAGTAGGTTATCTACCATAGGTAAATTTACTTTTTATTTTGATAGTATAAATAATCTCAATCATTATTTTTATATTTCCTTCAGAAACATGCCCTAATGGAGATATTGCAAAAAACTTTTGTTGGATTATACGACCTCATCACTGCTACAACAAAAATCATCAGAAAAGATGCTGTGAGACTTGTAAGAATTTTCCTAAAACAAACATTACAAGTGAGTTCTCTAAGTATTTACTTTTTTGCTTGTTTTTTTCTTTAGTCACAGAAATAAGAGAAAACAAAGCCTATTATTAGTTATTTTATTTATATTATGTTTAAAAGCATGGTGTTCTAAAGTTTAATACAAGTTTTAGTGTTCTTTTCAGACATTTTGACTAAGGCACACATTAAATTTTTTTTTGAAAAGACAAAAATATAATTTTTTTTAAAAACCAAGATAATAGGATAATACTTTAATTTTTCATTGATTAAAAAAAAAATTATTCTGTCATCAAATTTATTCTTTTATTGTATAAAAGATTTGAGTATAAAAGTTAAATTTTTGTAAATATTTCTTAAAAGCTTTCATTTATAACACAAATATATCTTTTACATGTATTAATATTTTTAATAAATTCTTTGGTTAAATAAAATTCTTGTTTAAACACACACACAGACACACACAATTTATCTTTGATTACATTCTGGAAATTATTAATTTTATAATGTCTTAATTATTTATTATTTTTATCATTTTATTATTAATCAAATATTTCAAATTGTCTAAACCTAAAGGAAATATTACAATTTATTGAGTGTTAATTTTTATATTTCTATTTAGTAATTAATAATTATTAGTATTACAAATTTTGTATTTGCAATTTTGGGGTTTTGATTTAAGTGAAAATTTTAATTAACAAAAGATGAGAATATACTGCATTCATTCATTAAAATTTAAAACAAAACTGAAATATCAATCAAATGATGTACAGGTGTTAAACCTTTTTGGAAATTCATTACAACACTTCTATATTCTAAAAATGCATTCCTAAATAAAATTTATAGTGGTCAATGGGAAACAACTCTTTTTATTGTCACTATTATTACAAATCTTTAATAAGATGCCAATCCGATGACATTATTTTTACAGTAATTGATTTAATGATTATTTTAAATCAGTTTTTTAATCTAAATTCAAGAAAAATATTTTTGAATCAATAGATATGATTATTTATTTTTTCTTAGATTGTTATTTATTGATATAAATATACGTTTTGCTGATATTTAAGCAAAAATAATATAAATATTAGAATTTTTTGGTTTTGATATCATATTATCAAAAAAAGAATAATACAATTGATATCATTGCTAATGATAATAATGTCACTGATTTGTCGTAATTTCTTTATTACAGATTGCAGATACGGAGATCATTATGTGATTTGGGATTCTGAATTTGGTTCTTACACTTGTCAGAGTTATGTAAGCATGTTGGGTTACAGCCAGTGCCGCAAAATGCCCTTGTTCCGTTCCAGGTGCTGTCAGTCTTGCCATGGCCATGAGATTAAATAACTTTAGAAAAACCTATTCAACTCACTATATGTACCAAGGTCACACAATATTTTGCTATTTCTGCTTGGAAATATATTTTACTTCAAAATTCAGATAACATTAACAAACTTTTCAAAGAGACTGAATTATTTTGCTCTACTTAATTATTTCTATGTATGTTCATAAGAAAATAAACAAAACTCTTACATATTGTGTGAACACATTTTATACAAATGCATGAACTAAACGTTTCATTTGATATTAATTTAGCAAAATAATAATCTTTAAAACAATATTGATAAAAAGAACATATATATATATGAACAAATTTGCTTCATAAAATATGCAAGATCACTTGTCACAATCTCAAACTGAACTGCAAATTAGTATTTTGTTTCCTAATTTTCCATAAAACAGAAAATAATTTACTGGAGCATTTTTGAAAGATATGCTTTTTATTAGTCCTTATTAAGAATAATTTGGTGTGTGTTTTTTTTGTATTTGTCCATTATAAAAATTAAAAAGAGAAGTTAATATTTATGAGATGTTGAAAGTTGGAAAGATTTGGTTAGTTTTAGAAGTGGGTTGATTAGAACTTTTCATTAGCCCTTTGTAAATATTTAAAAAAATAATCTTTTTCATTTTTTAAAAATTAAATTTATAATGAGTCTCAGTAAAAATAGTTAAGTATTATGCCTTTTTAGTTTTACTAACTGCATGAATGGATTATTCTAGATCTGTATGTGCATATAGAATATTTAAATATAAAACTATGAATATTAATGCACAAATGAAAAAGTGTACAGTTTCTAAAACTCTCATTAAAATATTTCATAAGTTCATGTTACAGTGAGCTAATAAACAAATAATTGTAACTTTTTGGAGGGTTTCTTTATAGTTGCTTTTTTATCACAATTCTGGAATTGTTTATTTTTTTTAATATTGTGCAACCATTAAAGTAAGCAACATGAAGTAGAAATAAATAAGTAGTCCTACAGAGATTTGAATTTACATCTGGTTTCCTGGAAGTCTGTTTGACATAAACAATGCCTATGCCAATTTGGCCACAAAGGATTCATGTTTAATAAGCATGTTTCACAGAGGTTTTTATAGCTACTACTTAAAGATTTGGCTTTTGGGGAAAATGAAGTTTGAGATCACATAACATGCAACAGTTGTTGATCAGATTAACTGGATGATAGATGAAGAAACAAAAAACTTAGACATTCCAAAAAATAAAATCTTGACTGTTACATATATAAAGAAATATTCATAAATATTTTATTCTCAATTTTTCCATGTTTCAACCACTTGATTAAATATCACCTAACATTTTTTTGAAAGTTTGAAAATTATTAGCAAAAGTATTTTTTTTATTGGAATGTAACTTTTAAAACAAAAATAATCTGAGGACTGTCAACTTTATTACCATATTTATAAATATCTATCTCTATATCTATATATTACAAAAGTATCATATGAGTTTCACAAAGGAGTTATATCAACAGTATAGAAGTAAATACCAATATTAGTTCATTCCAAAAGTATACAAGTTATTTTCTTTTTTTCATTCTTATAAAAACCTGGGTTATGTTGGTTATATTTTAAATAAAGAAAACTTTATATTATTTACATGCTGATTATTGTCATCATCTTTGTTTTTTTTTTATCACACTGTTTCTGTTTATTTTTACAGTGAGGTTCATTCTGTACAAGGCCCAGGGGTCACTTGAGATAGAGGGTTACAGAGTAAAAGGCACAGTTTATGCAGATAACTGGAGAAAATAGCAGTTAATTCTAGACTTGAACAGGTTATGGTTATAGTGATTAGAGAAACAGCCCCTTGGGAGTCAATTCCACAGAGCAGTGGTTTATGGGAAGAAGCTGCTTGAGTGGAACTTGCTTCTCACCAATGGAATACGGAGACAATGAGGGTGGCTTTCTATAATGTGAGTGGCATGGCGGGTCCTATCTGTGAAGGTTAGAACTGGCAGAACCAAGGAATACAGTTTGTCTGAACACTTTCCATGGATGTAACAATAGAGCAGCAAGAGGCTTGCTAATTCCTGTCTGTGAGAGAGGAGTTGCAGGGTGGAAAATAATTTGTTACCCACAAGGATGCAGAGATACTTTTGGAAAGTGAGGCCTGGGCAGCTCCTTCCCAAATATGACGGCACTACTCCATATTAGGCCTCATCTGGCTCTTGTAAAGGTAGAGGATAGCACGAAGAGTCAGGTACTTACTGGAGTGGTACAGGGAACAGATCATTTTCCTACATTTTTAGCAATAGATAATATGTACAAGTTCCACTTGAGGCCTGGGGTGAGTTTAAGTCCCAATAATATCTCATGACTAGTTTGGGATCTGATCAGTGATGATAGAATGTAATTAGTTTGGTTTTTGAGGTATTGTTTTTCCACTACTGAGATGTTAGCATTAGATCAGATAAGAGATCATCTGCCAATCTCTGGTCATCATGAGTTTTAGAGAAGCACCCATATATCGTTGCATAGATATTTACAAATGATTTGAATATTGTTGTTGGCACACGCTCGCATCTGAGCATCAGGATCATCATCCTCTCTCCCTATTCCCTTCCTCTCTCCTGATGGCAGTGACAGAGATGGCTGTAAATTAAAGAGAGTTTGACAAGGACATTTGCATGAATTTGATCATGGTGGACAACTCTGCATGACAGAAAAGCCTAAACACTTGACCAGAAGCACCTCCTTCACAGCTCAAAAGGAATTGTGACAGACGAGATCTGGCAAACCTGGTTGCATCGGGTTGTCAGATGCTTGATCTGTCAAGGTCCACCTTGGTTATGCCTGCTGATTATGTCTGCCTACTTCCACTGGTTTGGTTGTTGAGATTGTGTAGATCTTTAGCTATTCCGCTGCTGAAGTTGTCAGTGTTGATTGTGTTCAGTCTGGTCCTTCCACCTTGACCTTACTGTCATGGGTGGTCCTACAGGAGTTGGAACTCCAGATGGCTTCACTTTTGGGATCAATCGTCACTCTTGCAAGCCTGCTACTATGACAATGAGTGCCATATATTTTACACTAAATGTTTGAGTGAAGAGTATATCAAATGTATTGTTTTGACTTATTATTAATTTAATGCCAATAATAGAAACAAATCAATAAATAAGAAAAGAATAAAAGTATAAAATTATCATTAAATATATGAGAACATTTTTTTATTATTGTTATTGCTAAAAATAAATAATTTGAGAGATAAATAATAAAGTAAGAAATTCACTGCTGAGCAAAAAATGTTATAACTCAAAATACTTTTCCTACAAATTTGAAAATATGTCCTTGTCTATAAAAAATGTTATGCTACTACAATCAATAAATAAGAAAAGGATAACAATAAAATTATTGGCAAATGTTGTTAAAAATGTTTAAGCGATAAATGATAGGTAAAGAAATTGATGTTACTGAACCGATAATCAATGATAAACAAAACTAACATTATGCCTCAAAATGTATTTCCTACAATTTAAAAAATGATGTCCTTGACTAACTACAATAGATAACAATCTGCATGTAATCATCTATTTTACTCTCCTCCTTGGTCTTTTGAATGTAAGTAGAGGTTTATTCTGTTTCCTGTTTAGGATTGGTTTCCCAGTTCCTTCTAATGTCTGAAATTTATACTATTATTGGATCTCCAGTTTCTTCTAAAATCTTTTCATTCTGTTTCACTTCCAGTAGCCTCCTGTGTCTTAGTGGAATTATCACCTTGCTTGGAGTGAATTGATTAAAAAAATAATGCAAATAATAATTCCTCATCTCATAAATTCAGACAAAAAGAAAACTGTGTATCCATAACTGAACAACAAAATTTCTTGATTACTTACATAGTACTTCAGGAAACTGTTTGCAGTGGTAATTAGGAGCAATGATGTCCAATGGTAATTACGACTGTCAGGCACTTGTTACTTTGCAAACCCCAATGAATGTGTTTTGGACCATGAATTTGTTGTCTATCCAGCATAAAGTGTTGAACATTCTTGAAGAGTTTATGGTAAACCATGTGTATGCTGTCTCAATTGGTAGATTGAATTTTTTTCTTATAATGATCTGATCGGTTATTTTAAATATCAGCTTAATGTAAAAAGAGACTGGAAAAGATTGAATCCTGTTTTGTGGTAATAGTATTTGCATCCATTCATAGACTCCTTGTACCTCAACAATGAGGTTATTCTATTTTGGGCCTGAAACGGGAGCTATTGAATGTTGAGTTGTGTCCCTTTAATTGCAATATTGGTGAAGCCAAGATGGAGTAATAAACATAAGTTAACACCTGTGTTCGAGTTAATTTAATAAAACCAAACTTAAATATATCAGGGCTCAAGTTGCCTAGAATTGGGTTCAGGATCATTCTGGAAGTTTTTAGAGAATGGTGTAGCCACCTTGTTTGCCTGACTAAGAATTTATTGGTCATGGTGGAGAGGTCTTTTCATATGGAAAATTCCTACACCTTCCAATATCAGAGCTGTGGACAGCTATCAATATGGTAAGGCTCTTCATCCCTCCAGAGGTCTTCTGACCACTTGTGGAATCAATGATATGCTGAGTTGCTTTACCAGATTAGAGATGGTTCTATACAATTCTATGCATCTATCTTACGACTATTAGCATATCAGTGAAAACCATACATTTAAAATAGCATAAACCATACATTTAAAATATGTAGATTATATTTTAGATAAAGTACACAAACAAATCAATACATAACATATAAAATACAAAAACTTGTATAAATAATATAAATAAATTGTGTATGTGGATTTTTCCATATAAAAAAATATCAACGCCTCTTTAGGCTCACAATACAAAAAGACTCTTAATAAATGCAAAATTAAAATAGAAACAACAGACAGTTTAATTAGTCCTAAAATAATTCTTGTATTTTATAACGA